AGCAATGTATAAGTAACTCATAAGCAATGTAAAAGTAACTCATAAGCAGTGTATAAGTAACTCTTAAGCACCGCGTAAGTAACTCATAAGCAATGTAAAAGTAACTCATAAGCAGTGTATAAGTAACCCATAAGCAATGTATAAGTAACTCATAAGCAATGTAAAAGTAACTCATAAGCAATGTATAAGTAACCCATAAGAAACGTATAAGTAACTCATAAGCAATGTATAAGTAACCCATAAGCAATGTATAAGTAACCCATAAGCAATGTATAAGTAACTCTTAAGCACCGCGTAAGTAACTCATAAGCAATGTATAAGTAACTCATAAGCAGTGTATAAGTAACTCATAAGCAATGTATAAGTAACTCATAAGCAATGTATAAGTAACTCTTAAGCAACGCGTAAGTAACTCTTAAGCACCGCGTAAGTAACTCATAAGCAATGTAAAAGTAACTCATAAGCAATGTATAAGTAACTCATAAGCAATGTATAAGTAACTCATAAGCAGTGTATAAGTAATTCATAAGCAATGTATAAGTAACTCATAAGCAATGTATAAGTAACTCTTAAGCACCGCGTAAGTAACTCTTAAGCACCGCGTAAGTAACTCATAAGCAATGTAAAAGTAACTCATAAGCAATGTATAAGTAACTCATAAGCAATGTATAAGTAACTCATAAGCAATGTAAAAGTAACTCATAAGCAATGTATAAGTAACTCATAAGCAATGTATAAGTAACTCATAAGCAGTTTATAAGTAACTCATAAGGAATGTATAAGTAACTGATAAGCAGTGTATAAGTAACTCATAAGCGATGTATAAGTAACTCATAAGCAATGTATAACTTACTCTTAAGCATCGCGTAAGTAACTCATAAGCAGTGTATAAGTAACTCTTAAGCACCGCGTAAGTAACTCATAAGCAATGTAAAAGTAACTCATAAGCAGTGTATAAGTAACTCATAAGCAATGTATAAGTAACTCATAAGCAGTGTATAAGTAACTCATAAGCAATGTATAAGTAACTCATAAGCAATGTATAAGTAACTCATAAGCAATGTAAAAGTAACTCATAAGCAATGTATAAGTAACTCATAAGCAGTGTATAAGTAACTCATTAGCAATGTATAAGTAACTCATAAGCAATGTAAAAGTAACTCATAAGCAATGTATAAGTAACTCATAAGCAATGTATAAGTAACTCATAAGCAGTGTATCAGTAACTCATAAGCAATGTATAAGTAACCCATAAGCAATGTATAAGTAACTCATAAGCAATGTATAAGTAACTCATAAGCAATGTATAAGTAACTCATAAGCAATGTATAAGTAACTCATAAGCAATGTAAAAGTAACCCATAAGCAATGTAAAAGTAACTCATAAGCAATGTATGAGTAACTCATAAGCAATGTATAAATGTATAAATAACTCTTTATCAGTGTGTATAAGTAACTCATAAGCACCGCATAATTCATTCATTTGCACCGTATAAGTAACTCATAAGCAATGTATAAGTAACTCATAAGCAATGTATAGGTAACTCATACACAATATATAAGTAACACATAAGCACCGCATAATTCATTCATTTGCACCGTATAAGTAACTCATAAGCAATGTATAAGTAACTCATAAGCAATGTATAAGTAACTCATAAGCAATGTATAAGTAACTCATAAGCAATGTATAGGTAACTCATAAGCAATGTATAGGTAACTCATACACAATGTAAAAGTAACTCATAAGCAATGTATAGGTAACTCATACACAATGTATAAGTAACTCATAAGCAATGTATAGGTAACTCATAAGCAATGTAAAAGTAACTCATAAGCAGTGTATAAGTAACTCATAAGCAATGTATAGGTAACTCATACACAATGTATAAGTAACTCATAAGCAATGTATAAGTAACTCATAAGCAATGTATAGGTAACTCATAAGCAATGTAAAAGTAACTCATAAGCAGTGTATAAGTAACTCATACACAATGTATAAGTAACTCATAAGCATTGCATAATTCATTCATTTGCACCGTATAAGTAACTCATAAGCAATGTATAAGTAACTCATAAGCAATGTATAAGTAACTCATAAGCAATGTATAAGTAACTCATAAGCAATGTATAAGTAACCCATAAGCAATGTATAAGTAACCCATAAGCAATGTATAAGTAACTCATAAGCAATGTATAAGTAACTCATAAGCAATGTATAAGTAACTCATAAGCAATGTATAAGTAACTCATAAGCAATGTATAAGTAACCCATAAGCAATGTATAAGTAACCCATAAGCAATGTATAAGTAACTCATAAGCAATGTATAAGTAACTCATAAGCAATGTATAAGTAACCCATAAGCAATGTAAAAGTAACCCATAAGCAATGTAAAAGTAACTCATAAGCAATGTATAAGTAACTCATTAGCAATGTATAAGTAACCCATAAGCAATGTATAAGTAACCCATAAGCAATGTAAAAGTAACCCATAAGCAATGTATAAGTAACTCATAAGCAATGTATAGGTAACTCTTAAGCAATGTATAAGTAACTCATAAGCAATGTAAAAGTAACTCATAAGTAATGTATAGGTAACTCATAAGCAATGTATAAGTAACTCATAAGCAATGTAAAAGTAACTCATAAGCAATGTATAAGTAACTCATAAGCAATGTATAAGTAACTCATAAGCAATGTATAAGTAACTCATAAGCAGTGTATAAGTAACTCATAAGCAATGTATAAGTAACCCATAAGCAATGTAAAAGTAACTCATACGCAATGTATAAGTAACTCATAAGCAATGTATAAGTAACTCATAAGCAATGTATAAGTAACTCATAAGCAATGTAAAAGTAACCCATAAGCAATGTAAAAGTAACTCATAAGCAATGTATGAGTAACTCATAAGCAATGTATAAATGTATAAATAACTCTTTATCAGTGTGTATAAGTAACTCATAAGCACCGCATAATTCATTCATTTGCACCGTATAAGTAACTCATAAGCAATGTATAAGTAACTCATAAGCAATGTATAGGTAACTCATACACAATATATAAGTAACACATAAGCACCGCATAATTCATTCATTTGCACCGTATAAGTAACTCATAAGCAATGTATAAGTAACTCATAAGCAATGTATAAGTAACTCATAAGCAATGTATAAGTAACTCATAAGCAATGTATAGGTAACTCATAAGCAATGTATAGGTAACTCATACACAATGTAAAAGTAACTCATAAGCAATGTATAGGTAACTCATACACAATGTATAAGTAACTCATAAGCAATGTATAGGTAACTCATAAGCAATGTAAAAGTAACTCATAAGCAGTGTATAAGTAACCCATAAGCAATGTATAAGTAACCCATAAGCAATGTATAAGTAACTCATAAGCAATGTATAGGTAACTCATAAGCAATGTAAAAGTAACTCATAAGCAGTGTATAAGTAACTCATAAGCAATGTATAGGTAACTCATACACAATGTATAAGTAACTCATAAGCAATGTATAAGTAACTCATAAGCAATGTATAGGTAACTCATAAGCAATGTAAAAGTAACTCATAAGCAGTGTATAAGTAACTCATACACAATGTATAAGTAACTCATAAGCACCGCATAATTCATTCATTTGCACCGTATAAGTAACTCATAAGCAATGTATAAGTAACTCATAAGCAATGTATAAGTAACTCATAAGCAATGTATAAGTAACTCATAAGCAATGTATAAGTAACCCATAAGCAATGTATAAGTAACCCATAAGCAATGTATAAGTAACTCATAAGCAATGTAAAAGTAACTCATAAGCAGTGTATAAGTAACTCATAAGCAATGTATAAGTAACTCATAAGCAATGTATAAGTAACCCATAAGCAATGTATAAGTAACCCATAAGCAATGTATAAGTAACTCATAAGCAATGTATAAGTAACTCATAAGCAATGTATAAGTAACTCATAAGCAATGTATAAGTAACTCATAAGCAATGTATAAGTAACTCATAAGCACCGCATAATTCATTCATTTGCACGGTATAAGTAACTCATAAGCACCGCGTAAGTAACTCATAAACAATGCGTTAGTACCTTATTAGCAATGCGTAAGTAACTCAGAAGCACCGCGTAAGTAACTCATAAACAATGCGTAAGTACCATATTAGCAATGCGTTACTCATAAACAATGTGAAAGAAACTCATAAGCACCGCGTAAGTAACTCATAAGCACCTCATAAGTAACTCACAAGCACCTCATAAGGAACTCATAAGCACCGCGTAAGTAACTCATAAGCAATGCGTAAGTACCGCGTAAGTAACTCATAAGCAGGTACGACCGGACCAGATGTTCTGTGTTTAAAAAACACACGACATGCATGTACATGACAACACTCACGGGTCATGATGAAGTCGCTTTATCAATTTGTCCAAATGCTGTTGGTCGTGTCAAAAACATGAACCGAATACTGGTGTTATATATTACGGTTATTAGTACTTCATGTTTAATGAAGTACAAAATACACAACATCGGACAACGTGAAAGACAATGCTTACTTCCACACGTACAAAGTGACTGCTTGTTTCATTGTATTTCGGGTTCATTGTTTCACGGGTGAAACAGCAATAATTTTTATTCTGTTTGCGTGACAAAGACAAAACGAGCTGCTACTGCGAACTGTCTTCCTATTGTCAAGAACAATTATTCCCAATACGTTTCATATTACACTTCAAACCCCAGGACAGCAAAAAACACAGCTTTGTCAGACCAACAAAAAAAACTCGTTCCCTTATTCCCCTGTCCCCCATAGCGTTCCCACCCAGCGACCATCTGGTGTTATGACGGACGACACATCATAACTTTACTGACAGATATTAAAATGGCCGACTGGGGAGAGTGTCTCTTGTCTCCACGGTCTGGTCGCTGCACCATCCATCGCCCTGACGCCGCTCACAAATGTTATACACAGCTACAGTGTCGGTGGCTACATGGAGGCTGACAGCGCGGGGGTGGGGGAGCGGCCCGAGGGGGAGGGGAAAGATACATCGTCTCTGTCAAAAACGGCGCCGACTCAGAATCTGCTTTGCGGACGGACCAGACTCAATGTGTATCTGGACCGTCTTGCTCGAGTATGTGCTACCGTACTTAATGTAAAGAGCAACAATGACAAATTGTTTGAACTTATAAAGCACTGATATATCGAGCACGGTTGTATGGAATATGTATTTTGAAGCCAAACTGTGTTGTTCAAGAACTTTTTTAACGGTCTCATTCAAGAGAAAAAATAAAAAAGGCATTTAACAAGTTTAAGCCAAGGTTTTTGTACATCAGTGACAAGAAAACTATCGAAGATCTGTGTTCTACAAAAATTTTTTTTTTTTAAAATTTGATAAACACGGAGAGTGCCAAGTGTGTTCCTGTATTGTAAATACATTAACGAAGAAAACATATACATTGTAGGTTTATTTGTCTATTTATTATTTCTTAGTTGTTTAACGCCGCACTCAGCAATATTCCAGCTATATGATGGCGGCCCGTAAATAATCTAGCCTGGACCAGACAATCCAATGAATGATATCATGAGCATCGATCCATGCATTTGGGATCGATGACATGCTTCAACCAAGTCAGCGAGCCTGACCACCCACTCCCGTTAGTCGCCTCTTCCGACAAGCATAGTCGTCTTTTACGGCAACTAGGGTTGCTGAAGACTTATTCTACCCCGGATCTTCACGGGTCACATTGTAGGTAAGAACATCTTGATATGTAATGTCATTCTTGCATAATCGAGGTTTTCAACCTATTTTCACTCGCTGTAGTAATTTCGGAAACCGCATTTAAATACAATGATAAAACAATGAACACAATGCCAAACAGAAAGTGGTCAAATGTAACAAATGTTATATTTTGGATAACGTTTTTCTTTGTTAAGTACGTATTCTAGTATGGGGATTGGGACTCAATCCCCCCAAAATATTAGAATCTGTACTTTATCTAAGAAAGTGTTATCCCAAATATAACATAGAACTAGTACCCGAATCACATACACGTGCAGTGCCAAATAGTTTGCAACCGTGTTTTTGTACAGAAATGCCCATACGTCGGGAAATATCTATTTAAATCTATTTGGAACTTTAGAAATGTTTAACTGAGCAATTAGGCCCAACGTCAACATATGGGGCTGATAAAAAGTAGTTCCTGCCAGGCGAGCTCATTTGCATATTTGTCGGATCGTGATACCAAGTTTGTCGGATTATTTTTCGCATCCATTACAGTGTGTATTATAAGAGAAATGACAGTACAAACTGAAACCGTTTTAAACAGTAAACGGGATACTGAAATCTCATGGCTGGATGTAACTTTGAAGTTGTTGGTCATGTTACTGTGAGACGCCGTCAGGTCAGAGGGACTTTCAACACGGGCATCGGCTATAAATAGAACGCAAATATACACATAAAGTTGTACGTGTGTGTGTGTGTGTGGCTGCTTGTACTCGTCCGGACTGCTAGCCCACTGAGATACCATGCCGCAGTTTAACATGAATACCCCACTCAGTCACAGTATACTGACTCCGAGCCAACCAGTCCTGGTTTGAACCCCTTAATACCGAGCGCCAGACAGGATAACAACAAGTACCATCTTTTAACGTCTTTTGGTATGACGCGGGGGTCGAACCCCGACCTTCCGTTCTCCGGGCGGACGCTCTAGCTCTAGACCACGGATGGGCTCCCCTGCGCGTCTTTTCTGGGCCCGCGTATGATGACTATTGCGCCGAACCAGAGACCATTGAATAGATTATATTCTATTATATGGTCTCTGGCTAAACATTCGCTTACTCACTCAGAAAAAAACCCCACAATGAATCTCGTGTACGTAGTTCATAAATGTGTTAGCTGGATTAATGTTTTCATCTTAAAGTTTGATTTTTTCGGGTTTTTTAATAGTAATTCGATGATTTGATGTATCGTGGTTTGCCATTCCTGTTACCAGTCGCTGAATACTACAAAGGTAACCTTTGTTTGTTTGTATAGGGGTAATGACATGTAAAATTACGGTAAAGGATTTGGTTCTCCCCAGGGCTTAAAATGATGGAACGGGTGCTTTGTGGAACCTTTCACGTTAATTGCTCTATCCCATAGCATTGTGTCTTATCGCCATTTGTACATTATGACCCAGTGCCCAACGTAAAGTTAACATGTCGACGCCACACGCCTACATAAGCCGTCCATGTTGAACATGTGTTTATTAAAAAAGGGACATAACTGTCCATTACTAAGCTTTGTGCTTGCCGCTAATGATATCAGAATGATGTATTGTCCAATCCACCACGTCGCCCTTGGCGAACAAACCCGACGCTTTCCGAGTGCTGAGCGGAGATATCAATTTGGATATTACACAGATCCCGGAACTTTTTTTACCAATCTCAGGGCAACATTTGGTGATTATGTCGCCGACGACAGGTGTGGTGGCGGGTTGTTACAATGAATAAAACACCTTGTTTGTTTGGGATCCTAGTTTGCTACAATGGTTGATAAATATGGCGGTTGCTGCGGCCCATGGCGTCAGATGTCGATAAAACTATAGTCTCTGGGCCGGGAGCGTGTCAACGCTTGCAAACAATGAATTTTCTGGAACTCTATTTTTTTCCTTAACCTTCGTAATTATAAAACAACCTGATCATGTGTAATATCTAACTTTATAATCAACATAACAGCTACGTAAATTTCACATTGTAATAATCAATACATTTTTAATATCTATTTTTAATGTTTCAGTAAACCTTTTATCTAAAGAAATGGACCCAATTCCTTATTTAGATTATTTTCAGTTTTTGTTATGTTTAAACAGGAACCGGGAAAAGGTTCGTTTGTGGTCTTCTATATTTTATTGTTATCGTATTTTTGTCGGACAATATCTTCGAACAGTTTTCGTATGCGTGTTTCTTCATATTAGCATATACTGTATACCATCAACGGTGGGATGGACAAGTGGTTAAAGCGTTCACCCGTCACACCGAGGACCCGGGTTCGAAGTCTTATATCAGTACAATGTGTGAATCCAAATCCTTGTATGAAGGCGGCGGGGAAACTCACTCACTCACTCACTATGTCGTATTTCCTCACACATCTAAGCAAAAACATCCCCACAAGTTGAAAAACGATTATCATCATCATCATCATCATCATCATCATCATCATCATCATTCTTTTTCTTTTTCTTATTCTTATTCTTATTCTTATTCTTATTATATGTTTTTCTTGTCAAAATACATAGTTTTATACTTGTAAATGAACTGTCTTGTGCTGGTATGCTATGTGAACCTGGGGAATCGGTTTGACACATGATGGGAACAATTGCATGTACAGCTTTTGGGGTTGGTCTTGTATCAACTGTCTCGTCTGTCGTGTAACATCTGTCTGGTCCAGTCAAGCAATGTTGGTTGCGGAGTGTAGGTGGATGGGTGGCCGTGTTCGGCGGCTTGACGCCTGGGTCTTTCTCAGGCGTCGGTCCTATCCCGCACCGAAGCACATGTAGCCCATGTGGTGTCCTTAGGCAAGTGACTTTGTTGGAAATAGGCCTCTGTTAGTCCAGCAGTGAATGGGTACCCGGTAGGATGTTAATGCGGCTGTTACATTTCTGGAACCTCACATGTAGCTTTGGTTGTATGATCCCCAGGAAGCTGAGAGGAAAATCGGGAGCACTGATCCATTGACGGGGCAATAGTGTAGCTCTCTGAGCTTGACTTCGGGTGTGGATTTGGCGTATTATTTACATGCACATTATATTTTATAGTCGTATCTGTCTGGTGCCATGAGACTAGTACCAACTGTCTAGTCTGAGCTGCCATGTATCATAAATCTCGAATTGTTTCTTAGTTTTTTTCCAGCACCATGACCGTACTCGTGGTTTTCACTCACACGCCCTACTACTACTACTGACCCGGGAAGATCCGGGGTAGAACAGGTCTTCAGCAACCTATGCTTGCCGTGAAAGACGACTATGCTTGTCGTAAGAGGCGACTAACGGGATCGGGTGGTCAGGCTCGCTGACTTGGTTGATGCATGTCATCGATCCCAATTGCGTGGATCGATGTTCATGATACCAATCACTGGATTGTCTGGTCCAGACTCGATTATTGACAGACCGCCGTCATATAGCTGGAATATTGCTGAGTGCGACGTTAAACAACAAACCAGCAGCAACAACAACAACTACTACTACTACTACTACTACTACTTAGACGGTGTGGTTAAAGCGTTCGCTCGTCACGTCGAATGCCCCGGTTCGATTCTCGACATGGGTACAATGTGCACAGCCCATTGCTGTTGTCTTCATCCGTGATATTGCTGGAATATCGCTTAAGGCGGCGTACTCACTCGCGTTCAAGTTATTGCACTCATATAGCGATGTGCATGCACGCGCGCGCGTGTGTGTGTGTGTGTGTGTGTGTGTGTGTGTGTGTGTGTGTGTGTGTGCTTGTACTAATCCGGTTTTGTAATGCTAACATACTTGGATGACAGTACAACTACGTCTAATACCAGTACAACTACGTCTAATACCAGTACAACTACTTCTTATACCAGTACAACTAGTTCTAATACCAGTACAACTACTTCTGATACCAGTACAACTACTTCTGATACCAGTACAACTAGTTCTAATACCAGTACAACTACTTCTGATACCAGTACAACTACTTCTAATACCAGTACAACTACTTCTAATACCAGTATAACTACTTCTGATACCAGTACGACTACTTCTGATACCAGTACAACTACTTCTAATACCAGTACAACTACTTCTAATACCAGTACAACTACTTCTGATACCAGTACAACTACTTCTGATACCAGTGCAACTACTTCTACTTGAGTTACTACAACAATTTCTAATACTGGTACTAGATCAACTTCTACTGCTCCAACTGCGACAACATCTTCTACTGAAACAACCCCCGAGAATTAATATAATGTTACTTTAAGTGTCCCTCCAAGCCCAGGGACATGGTCCATGCGCTGACCATGCGTCATTTACCAAGCGTACCTTACCACAATCTGTCACTGAAACCATAGATACTTCCAGCCAAAGGCAACCTAACCACGAATTCAATTCACATGGGTGTTCACTAATTATCGCGGAACTGAGGAATTAAACGTAACTTGAACCCCAAATTTGCTCGAATTACCATAGCATTGGGCCGTGCAACTGTCAAAGCTCCTTACAGCGCCATTCTATCACAGCATCGTTGTAAGCCAGAGAAGATTCGTCTTTTATAAGCAACCGAGCGTGGCCGGACGGAACGGATTGAGATCGAGTCAGACTGAAATGCTTAATTGTTTAAGTACTTTGATCCAATTCAAATATCGTATGTCAGCTTTAAACGACGTTTGCTTAATCAGTCGGGTGGCCGAATTGATTTGATTTGTTACGCAACGTCTATTAGGATTGAATTAGAAGTGTAAACTGTCTGGATTTTGTGTCGTACAATTATGAATTGTGTAAAATCGTGGCACTGACATGCACTGTGATTATAGGTTCAATAAAATTACTTCTCTCCCAGGAGAAATTTAGGGGTATTGTTTTAAGTGTGAATGGTTAAATAACCAGCCATGGACCAGAGCTCGCACCGTGACCGTGAATGAGCTAAACAATTTTAGTTCCATTGGTGGTTTGTGGTTTGTCAAACATGACTGGGTTTTAAACTTTATTATAAAAAAATACATTTACTGAAATAATATCCGAGCGATTAACATAAATAATTGTGATTGACAATTTCCAGAGAAGTGTGTCTCAAATTTGATTAGCTGTCTAATGACATTGTATTGGGCTGAATTATATTTCTATTAGCTTTACCAAACGCTTCATCTGCAGGGTTTTCATATGAGACCTTTAACTATGGCTAAATGATGATTGTGAAACAATAATGGTTTTATTACCCGTATAACCACACTTTACATGATGAAAAAATGCAATCCAAATTAACACAAAGCAAACATTAAAAACCTGTCCATGTTTATTCTGATGGCAACAGAGAAAGCCAGTGACAGACTGTCCGTCTGTATTGCTCCCGTTGTAGAAATTCTCAATCAACTTTACTCACCTTTTATCTAATGTTGTAGCCTGAAACAAATACAAAAATACGAATTTTTATCTGCGAGCTCCAGATGAGCTGCGTATGAGCTTCAAATACTCAAAATTAATCACAAGTACATGACAAGAGATGGAGAGATGAACATATTTTCAACAAGCAAATCAACTAGAAAATTCCACCAGAATATATCTAAACTCAACTGTTTAGGTAGCATTACTTCGACATTATCCTGTCCGGGGATTATCAAACCTTTCCTTTCCTTACTGCGATCCCCGGAAGAGGGATTTAATTATGGTTTTAAAAATACGTCGAGAAGGAATTGTATATAATCTCTATCTTGCGTCTCTGCTAGAAGTTTCGGGAACCATTCAATAATTTCGATAAAAAACCCATCAACCCCCCCCCCCCCCACCTCCACACACACACACACACACACACACACACACACACACACACACACACACACACACACACACACACACACACACACACACACACACACACACACACACACACACACACACACACACACAAACCAACCCACCCACCCACCCACCCACCCAAAAAACAACAACAAAAAACACACAAAAAACACAACAAACCTGCAGATTCATCCTGACATCTTCGCATCGACTAGTTCTGGATCATTTATACTATGTGGAATAAAATGTTACTTTTACGATGAGAAAACACGGCTGATCTTTAAAAGAACGTCGTATCAGTACAAATACGGTAATGTGATATATAGAATTATAATTAGCAATATATAGTTCACTGGGTACCGATATGTTTCATGATGGAGACTAAACAACTAGCCTCCGGTTACATTCTCGTATTTTCTATAATTCATTGTGTATTCACACATGAATATTCAACCTGATTTAACACATGTACAGTGAAGTTACATATCGGCCTGTGTGTATTGATCAGCAAATATTAACAAAATAACAACTCGAGCGTGTTCTCCGCTCTTGGGGGCCCTGGACTCTCACATTCGTTAAATTATTGAATAAATATATAACGATTTGTTTTTTTATGCACAACTTGTTATTATTTATGTGTGCATAACGTATGTGCAAGTGTAACCTGTTATATGAATATATGCATTTCGTTAGCTGCAGGTTGCCTTTGAAGGATGCTACCGGTGAGATGAGCCTGGGCCTGGTTGCACACTGTGAGAACAATGCTTCACTGGGCATGTCGGCGAACGTGTTCACTCAGCAATGGTATCTTTATCCTGAACTGTTCTTCAAACAGTGTATTTCCATAGACATACTGTCACGGAGCTATGCTCCACAGACCAGGGTGTCAGTAAACAAGAATAAAGTACAGTAAAGTACGGTTATAACGAACTCAAAGGGACTACTTATTTTAGTTCGTTATAACCGTAGTTCGTTATAAGCATATATACAGCATAACTACAGCAAATAGTCGGGACCAAAAAGAAAGTTCGTTATAAGCGTGTTCGTTATAACCGTAGTTTACTGTAATAATGAAAACGTGGTGACAGGTTCACAGGTTGAGGGCTCATACGAGCACCATTGCGAGTACCATTGCAACGACCACCTCTGACGCTACCACTACCACAACAACATATGCCTCTTCCAGTGAAACAAGCATATGTGACGCTACTATTGGCACATCTACCTCAGAAGTTATTATTGTAACAATGTAAGATGACCCTTCTATTACCACAACCACATCTGATGATACTATTGCAACGACAGCCCCAACGACCACAACAACAACTGTTATTACAACTGCGACCACCACGACTTCTGCAACTTATATTACCACCACTACTACTTCTACAACCACAACTGGTGTTCTTGGTCGCAGGTTTGTCTTTCTCAGTTGCAGTTTCTTGTGGCCATGGTTTGGTTAGTTTCACGGTTCCTTAACGCCATCCCCTCTCGTACTACCACCCCCACTCGTACTACCACCCCCATTCGTACTACCATCCCCACTCGTACTACCATCCCCTCTCGTACTGCCATCCCCATTCGTACTACCATCCCCACTCGTACCACCACCCCCACTCGTACTACCATCCCCCACTCGTACTACCACCCCCATTCGTACTACCATCCCCTCTCGTACTACCATCCCCTCTCGTACTACCACCCCCACTCGTACTACCACCCCCACTCGTACTACCATCCCCACTCGTACTACCACCCCACTCGTACTACCACCCCCACCCGTACTACCACCCCCATTCGTACTACCACCCCACTCGTACTACCATCCCCATTCGTACTACCATCCCAATTCGTACTACCATCCCCACTCGTACTACCACCCCCACTCGTACTACCACCCCCACTCGTACTACCACCCCACTCGTACTACCATCCCCATTCGTACTACCATCCCCATTCGTACTACCACCCCCACCCGTACTACCACCCCCACTCGTACTACCACCCCCACTCGTACTACCACCCCCACTCGTACTACCACCCCACTCGTACTACCATCCCCACTCGTACTACCACCCCCACCCATACTACCACCCCCATTCGTACTACCACCCCCACTCGTACTACGACCCCACTCGTACTACCACCCCACTCGTACTACCACCCCACTCGTACTACCACCCCCACTCGTACTACCACCCCCATTCGTACTACCATCCCCATTCGTACTACCACCCCCATTCGTACTACCACCCCACTCGTACTACCATCCCCATTCGTACTACCATCCCCATTCGTACTACCATCCCCACTCGTACTACCATCCCCATTCGTACTACCATCCCCACTCGTACTACCACCCCCACTCGTACTACCACCCCCACTCGTACTACCACCCCTACCCATACTACAACCCCCACTCGTACTACCACCCCACTCGTACTACCATCCCCATTCGTACTACCATCCCCACTCGTACTACCACCCCCACTCGTACTACCACCCCACTCGTATTACCATCCCCACTCGTACTACCATCCCCACTCGTACTACCATCCCCAGTGGTACTACCACCCCCACTCGTATTACCATCCCCACTCGTACTACCACCCCCACTCGTACTACCACCCCCACTCGTACTCCCACCCCCACTCGTACTACCACCCCCACACGTACTACCACCCCCACTCGTACTACCATCCCCCACTCGTACTGCCATCCCAACTCGTACTACCACCCCCACACGTACTACCACCCCCACTCGTACTACCATCCCCCACTCGTACTACCATCCCTACTCCTCCTACCATCCCCACCCATACTAAAATCCCCATTCGCCCAACTCGTACTACCATCCCCAGTGGTACTACCATCCCCACTCCAACTACCATCCCCACTCCAACTAACACTACCACTACCACCTCAACAGCCACCACGACCACTGCAAGTACCACAGACAGACAGAAATACTACTACTCAGTTCATCTCTAGCTTCATCCTATCCTTAAAACATCCCCCACCACTACTTCATGTACAGCCTTCACCGCCACCGCCGCAACTACTGCCACTACGACCACTACCACTACCATTGCAACATATACGCAATTCATTAGTTCAATCCGTCCAAACTAATTCATCACTTTGAAGCATGGTGTCATTTCTGTCTGTTTTCATGCTGTACACGCGTGTATAGAAACCGCCCAGCTCCGCTTGTGAAACAGCTTGTGAGAGGATGTCATTGGCAGGGTGGAGAAGTGATGACATTAGCTAGCTGCACATTAGAACACTACGCTGTTCACGCCGGCTGTTACGGAAACCGTCGTGTTAGATGTGTGGGCACCACACCCTGCAGGCACTATCAGTAATACAGCATTTTAGCAAACAGAAAGGTCAGCGTTAGGGTGAGTGAAACTAAAATGGATTATTCAAATTGAATTGCTTTCGGTGTTAGAGCGTATTCAACAATCCACATCTGATTCTAATGTCGTAGTCGACGATGTCTCACCTGCACAGGAGGGGACTGTGACGTTTGTGTTACAATGGCGTCAGCTTCGGATGCAGTTGTAGTTTTTTACGATGTCTTGTCTGGTACGAACTCTTTTGTTAAGGCTTATTGTACATTTGAAACTAACGGATTGGTTTTGAAGAGCTTTAGTGTCAAGTACATATGGATGCGACGAGAACAGACGATGTACATCTCAGAATCAATGTGGACCACATATGTAGCATTCTGACAGAACTCGCGCACATAATGAAGACAGCAGTTGGCGTAGTTCTTTTACAAGCAATTCTTGAAAAGACTGTCGATACGGGGCGTGGCTGCTCTTGCTGGAGTTGGCAACATGATGCGATTTATTTACAATAAAGACTACATACTGTTTTCATAAACGTAAGAAACTTCCATTGTATATTTGACAATATACACATGCAAAGGCAAGTCAATTGTTCACCTTAAAATGAACTCTTGGTGATACGATGTAAGTCGAAATAGGGAATTGCATCAGAATAAGTTTTGTCACTGAGGCGTCAAATTTGGAAATGTCCTCCACATGTCTACCACAAAACGTTATAAAAGTCTTATCGGGCCTCGAATGGTGCAACATTGACTAAGTCGTATGACGATGTTTGAGATCTCCATAGAAGGAGCTTCTTCGATTGTATCTCAGAAGTTGCGAAACGTGGATTCCAGCATTTCACAAGCATTCACATTATGAAAATCAACTAACGCCGCTAGAACTACAAGTACCAGCACAATGAATACTGTCACTACCGCCTTCTCTACCCATACCCCTACCACTATCACTACATCTACTCCCGCCACTACCACAGCAATGATCACTGTCACTACCACCTTCCCTACCCATACCCCTACCACTATCACTACATCTACTCCTGCCACTACCAACACAATGATCACTGTCACTACCACCTTCTCCACCCATACCCATACCACTATCACTACCACCACTACCAGCACAATGATCACTGTCACTACCACCTTCTCTACCCATACCCCTATCACTATCACTACCACCACTACCAGCACAATGACCACTGTCTCTACCACCTTCTCTACCCATACCCCTACCACTATCACTACCACCACTACCAGCACAATGATCACTGTCACTACCACCTTCCCTACCCCTACCACTATCACTATCACTACCACCACTACCAGCACAATGATCACTGTCACTACCATCTTCTCTCCCCATACCCCTACCACTATCACTACATCTACTCCCGCCACTACCACAGCAATGATCACTGTCTCTACCACCTTCTCTACCCATACCCCTACCACTATCACTACCAGCACAATGATCACTGTCACTACCATCTTCTCTACCCATACCCCTACCACTATCACTACATCTACTCCCGCCACTACCACAGCAATGATCACTGTCACTACCACCTTCTCCACCCCTACCCCTACCACTATCACTACCACCACTACCAGCACAATGATCACTGTCACTACAACCTTCCCTACCCCTACCACTATCACTACCACCACTACCAGCACAATGATCACTGTCACTACCACCTTCTCCACCCATACCCCTACCACTATCACTACCACCACTACCACTGCAATGATCACTGTCACTACCACCTTCTCTACCCCTACCCCTACCACTATCAATACCACCACTACCAGCACAATGATCACTGTCACTACCACCTTCTCTACCCATACCCCTACCCCTATCACTACATCTACTCCCGCCACTACCACAGCAATGACCACTGTCACTACCATCTTCTCTACCCATACCCTACCACTATCACTACATCTACTCCGCCACTACCACAGCAATGACCACTGTCTCTACCACCTTCTCTACCCATACCCCTACCACTATCATTACATCTTCTCCCGCCACTACCACCACTACCACCGCAATGATCACTGCCGCGACCACCTTCAAGGTTTTTCAAAACATTTGATTTTGAAGATTATTAAAGATTTCTTGAATAAAATAAGCCATTACTCTCCAGACCTTAATGGGATCTGGTATAAAGGCTCTGCGTGTCATTTGTAAGTTTAAATACAAATCAAGATCGTGTTTTCCTAAGACTGATCTCATGTAGATAATAATGTAATTCTCACAAAAAACCAGGCCACATAATTACATGTATGTTCAAAATATGCCAAGAAAATCAAACGCACAGGAACTCCACACATGTTGGAGGAAATCTCTGAAACGAATGCGTCTTCAAGTCGTGATTTGTATCATTAATGAGACATAATTGACAGCAACTATCATTGGCGTGTCTGAACCAAACAATCTTATCATTCTTGATATGGAAACGTTCGCGAAATGTACATCGCGATATCAAGTTTACCTGGTTCTGCGATGTCAAACCTTCCACTGTGGTTCTATTACATCCTGCCATTGGGTACGTCTTGGCGCGCTCAGATAAAATCAGATTGCGGAGCGTATAGACGCTTTATCACTCGTCATTTTTAGACAACCTAACTGATGTACGCGTCAACTTGGATCTAAAAGAATCAACAACAAGCTCGCTTTGATGACATTTTGTCCCGAAAAACATGTCAATCCGTGCAAGACAAACACAGTTTCCTCACACGAAGCACAAAATTGATAAGAAAAGAAGTTCCTTGTGAATACAGTATGTTCGCTTAACGCTGGGGTGTGATAAAATCTTGATATGAGCAGTCGTAAGGAAGACAGTTTAGGTAGTGACCACGTGACAGGTTATTGGCACGTGCTGCCCCACGGCCTTAAATCTTAATGATTGTCTTAACAGTTACTTGTTGAAGGGGGACTGGACAGGTTGACCGTTAAATAGCCACGTGTACCGTTTACCACATATAATTATTTACATCAAAGGAGGGGGCAAGGGTGGCCGCGATTCACTGTGCAGAGTTGCGTCCCTTGGGCACGCCAGAAACCTATGATTGTGGGTTCGAATCCCGGTTCGCCCAAATTATGTTTCTAGGTTTGTCAGCACCATACCCGTGCTCGTGGGTTTCACCGAAGTGGTAAACGTCTAAGATCTGCATCACTTCGGGATTTAGTCTCACATTAAGTTGACACGTCGTGATATAACTGGAATAATGTTAAAAGCGGCGTTAAACCCAACTCACTCACTCACTCTACATCAAATGGAGACAAAGGCCATGAAAATGACAAATTGGACCAATTTTAACGTAATAGTGAAAAGTAAAATTGAAAAATGATTAGATTATGGGGATAATGTATGAATGTGATAAATGATGCAACCGTATGAATTTTGGCCCACCCTGTGTTGCGAATGAATACCACGTCCAATATAACGGATCTCTCAATTGTTTCTGTGTGTCAAGGTGCCGGTTATTGGGGTGAAATTCGATACTTGTATTGTAAGCTTGTAAACAATATGCTTGGGCTGTTGTATGATGAAATTTTATTTTTTATCTAATAACATCAGAGTGTATTGAAATGTGTTATGTACCACTAACCTGGACAACTGTAATCCCCCGGCAAGAAGTATCCACGAAACGTTGTTTACGTTAATAAAGAGGTGTGTTGAAATGTGGTTCAACGTCGCATCCAAGATCATTGCACTTATATTGCGACGTGCATGCATGTGTTTGTGGAGCTTGTATTATTCAGGATTGGTGCCGATTTTATAGTGAGTAGCCTACTAAGACACAGTATACTGACTCCAAATCGAACAGTACTTGTTTTAGCTCCTTAATGACGAGCGCCAGGCAGGGTAACATCAAATACCATCTTTTTAACGTATATTTGTATGACGAGGCCGAGGATCGAACCCCGGACCTTTCGCTCCCCGGGCGGACGCTCTACCACTAGACCAGGTCGTGTAATAAAGAAGTTGTTATCCATAATCATGTTTACATCCAACTTCTAAACCCATATAAAGACTCCCCCATTTTACGTTAGAGTGACAGATTTACGCCTTTCAACAACACTCTACTTCCCGACAGTTTGTACATACGGATGCTGGAATGTTAGCACTTACTTGGTGCATCTCCGGCTCGAGAGAACTGGAACATTGCTTATCGTTCACCTATCCTAAAGGATGTGATGTAACATTCACAATTGAGTAAGACGAGATCGTTCCCAGATACATTTTACGAGATAAGATAAGATAAGATAAGATAATATTTATTGCAGAAACGTTCCATTACGGGACAGATGCAATTTTAAAAGACAAGACATTATGATTCATATATACATATATACAGACATACATAATTTACATTCCTGTAGACACATAATAGATAATTTACATTTTGATAAATATTGAAAAAGATATTAAGAACAACACCGAAATGGTTGAAATTAAACTTTTGGTGTCAGTTCAAAGACAAACGTGTTTCAGAATTGACACAATTCCTCCATGGCAGGCATATGTTCAAACAAACACAAAACATCATGTCATTAGCGGGTTTAATGTCATTAATGTCATTAATGTCATCAAGCTAAACGTCTGATTGTCTATAATTTGCGGCGAATTAGCCAAATAGCAGCTTACCAAACAATGGTTCCAGAGCCTGAAGACAGACGTTGTGATTAGATAATGACCCCCGCCTTTGTCTCCCTGCCCCCTTGAATATGCCAGCGTCCCCTCCCACCTGACGCTACCCCTCCTCGTCTCCACCCTCTCTACGCCCACCACCACCCCTAATTTACACAGTGCCAGCCGAAAGTGGCATTTGAGCAGTAATCGCTCTGACTGTTCATTCTGGTTCCTGGGCGACGGGGGCAGGGTTAGGCTAGAACTGACATAATACCTCTAACAGGCGTGGATCTTTATTTGATACGGAAACTCCATTGTCTTTGTTGAGTATAATTGGAAGAAGATGGAAAAGAGATTGATCCAGTGATTGTCATGATCTGATTAAAACGACATTACATGTATTAAGCAACATTCCGCCCGATATACTTTGTCCAGTTCTTGGCAACTAGGGTAGGCCACTATTGCCTATTGATACCCTAGAAGGTACAGCCGGAGAACTGACAAAGTTCTGCTTTTGATACTTATTACTGTTACTACTCATGGGGTTGACAGATATTTATTGATAGTACTACTGTCAAGATTCGACTGTTGATACTGTTGCCTGTTGATACTTAAGTTGAAACTACTGATAGGGCTGTGTTGTTGATAATTAAGTTAGTACTATTGATAAGGTTGTGCTGTTGATACTTACGTTAGTACTACTGATAGGGTTGTGTTGTTGATAATTAAGTTAATACTACTGATAAGGTTGTGCTGTTGATAATTAAGTTTATACTACTGATAAGGTCGTGTTGTTGATATTTAAGTTAGTACTACTGATAAGGCTGTGCTGTTGATATTTAAGTTAGTACTACTGATAAGGTTGTGCTGTTGATATTTAAGTTAGTACTACTGGTATGGTTGTGCTGTTGATATTTAAGTTAGTACTACTGATAAGGTTGTTTTATTGATACTTAAGTTAATACTACTGATAAGGCTGTGCTGTTGATATTTAAGTTAGTACTACTGATAAGCTTGTGCTGTTGATATTTAAGTTAATACTACTGGTATGGTTGTGCTGTTGATTATTTTTTGCTAAAAGCTCATGTTAGTCTGAATCAAACTAAACCAAGTCTATTTTTCTTGATTCAAACTATGAAAACAGCAGAAGAGGAAAGGTTCTTTTGAAGATAAAAATTGCAATTATTTTAAAGAAATGTTTTCATAGACTAAGTGTTAGTTTAACGTCCCCACTATAACTTGCTATCAATATTTCACCTGCTGTTACTAAAGTACTTCAGACGTCTTTGAAGCTGTGGCCATAATTCAGTTACGTTTTTAATGTTCTAATACTCACAACAACACAAAATAATTAATGATGTATTTTTATCCCTCGAAAGGACATTTTAGTTATTGATAGCAAATGGGCAGACTGTCTTTCTAAGCTTGATGGACAACGCTTCACGTGCTTACACAGTTATAGTTGAGGATATCCATCAAACCTATCCTGTAGCAGAGAAGATACAGTGTTGTGGACATAGTTAGAACACAATACCCACTGGCAACATTTATGTGCTTTGTGATTAATCTATGTATCAACGTGTTCCCACAAGACTAATGATGGTGAATAAACAACGGCTATTAATCACTACTTAGTGACGATACACAGGCCCGGATCCACGAGTAACAGCAGGGGTATATTCACCTAGGACAACACTCGCTTATATGTGTGAAGTTAAACTGTGAAACTGTACACACTGCGGACCATTTATCCTTTCGATTAGTTCCGGAATGGACACATGTATATTTTATTACGTAATTGAAGAGGCATCAAAGTTTCATTAAGTGATTGAAGTCTATCAAATTGTTTCTAAACGACTGAACACTTTAGGCTCATAGATAAGATACTGTGAAGATAAAAAAATATTTTTTTTATATCATCTTCATATAATTTTTTTGATGAATTGTACAGTGTATCGAATGAGATTAATAATGCTATCTACAATCGCAACCCAATGTTTAAAAACAACAACAAAATGATGACAACATCCGTGTTTAAAACAACAAGAAGAGTAACAAACGACAACAAAACGGTGTTTAGTTTTTAAATGCAAACCGATGTTTATCCTAACTGAGGGGCTGTCGGGTAGCCTCGTGGTTAAAGCGTGCGCTCGTCACGCCGAAGACCCGGGTTCGATTCCCGACATGGGTACAATGTGTGAAACCCATTTCCGTGATATTGCTGGAATATTGCCAAAAAGAGGCGTAAAACCATACTCACTCACTCACTCTGAGAGATGAATTGGGGAACTGTAAGTATAGTAAGGCTAATGGCGTATGCTGACGTCC